CAACGCGTCCTCGGGCACTGGCCATTTAGGCTCACCCGCTATGCAGGACGGCACTCCGCCGCGCCTGCTCGAGGAACAGCAGATTCCCCATCACGCCGGATCGGGGAGCTCCGATCGCAACAGCAAGGTGCACCGGCGTGGAGCGGAGGCCTCCCTCGGCGGAGAGTCGCACCGGAGCACGGGGAGCGACCACGACGAGCCCCGTGGTGGTCAGCCCCGCGCCTCCATCCAGTGGGCCAGGCACAGCGGGGAGGAGCGGGGAGAGCTCCGCGACGACCACCAGCGTCCGTTCTCTGCGAGCTCGCTGGTGGTCCACTGGACTGACGGCAGCGAGCCCGAGTCGTCGAGGCCCGAGAGGCTAGCGGAGAGCAACGCGCACCAGGACCAGGATGACGCCCTAAGCCGCCTCTCGGAGGAGTCACGACGGCGGTGGCCGATCCCCCCCGCCCCACAATCATCCCCCATCGACGCCGCCGATGTCCTTTCTGCCGCGACGTCGGGGTCAGGGACGCAGCTCACGGACCAGCTCGCGGAGCAGACCTCAGCCCCGGCAGCCTCCAGCGACCAGCCCGCCGAGTGACTCTGATTGTAAAATACAGTTCCACGTGCGTGCGAGGTCACGACTCAGGGCCGGTGAGGAGGCTTGACCTAGGCGCCACCGAACGGGTCGCGGTGAGATGGCGCGCTGGAGAGGGCGTGGGCGGCGCGGGGGTGGCGCGGGGGCAGCAGTCGGGGGGTGGGCCAGAGCGGGGGCGGCGCGGTGACGCGAGGCGAGGCTGCGGGCGGAGCCAACAGAGGGCGCGTGGAGCCTCCGCCAGGAGCCTGTGCCTGGCGACAGAGGGCCTGCCCCTCCCCCTCCTGTCCGGAGGCTGCGCTGGCCGCGCTGCACTGCGCTGTCTGGTCCAGTGTGCGCCCCGCGCCCCAGCCAGACACAACCCGAGCCGAGCCAGGCCGAGCCAGGCGCATCCCGAGTACGAGCCGGCCTGCCTGCGGATACCCCGGCCCACCCCGGCCCACCGCACCGGGCCGGTGCGGATACCCCGCCGCGCCGCGCCGCGCCACGCATCATCAGCCGATCTGCAGCTTGTCGCGGCGCGCCTGTCGCGGCGCGCCTGTCGCGGTGCCCCCACGGTCGCGACCCCATCGCAGGCAGCCGCGGGCCGGGGGCCGTCGGGGGCGTCGGGGGCCGTGCGGGCGAGAGTGGCAGTGCGTCGGGCCGCCACGGGAGTGTGCGTGTGTGTGTGTGCGTATGTGTGTGAGTGATGGGATGAGTGCGGGGGATGGTCACGATTGAGTGACCTGATGTGTCCAAAGTGATATGTGAAGTGACAAGTGAGATCAAAAGAAAGGCATAAAAAACCAGAGGATTCTTTAGGACCCACAGACCTGCAGCCATGGCATCTGGTAAGTGCGAGAGAGTACAGGCGTCTCGCTTCTTCCTCGTATCCATTACACACCACTCAATCTAACACCCTTTTCAATGGAAATTGTACGACTACGTGTTCACGTAAAATTTTATTTTCTGTGAAAAACTACTACGGAATTGCAGTACATAACCAATACAACGTTATTCCAAATTTTACAAAAAACCCGTTTTTATTTTTTTTACGTAAATATAATTGGTAGCCGTACCGCAGGTAGGCGCGGTGGGTCTGTATAAGTCACTGTCACAAGTTTCATGGCGCCTTTCCCCCAGACACCCTGTAGGGGGCTTCGACATTTGGATTTCCAGACCACAAGCGTTGTTGCAGAACAGGGTAACTATAAGGGAGACTGACAAAGTACTTTTTCGTTTCGGTCCCTCGTTCACCACGCCCTCCATTATATGTAGCACGTAACAAACACTCGTGAGAGCCAACCTA